CTGTGTGTACCTGGCAGGTGTGATCCGGGTGCAGCGGGTTGTGGGTGCCTGCCTGGGCTTTTCCCCGAGCCGGGACCTCCACCTCCCACCCTCCGCCCCCATCCCGCAGTACCCACTGTCACTATTTCCTATATACATGTGTCTATGCATATACATCTAACCAGTCCCTTTTTGTTTAAACACAAATGGCAGCATGTGACACACTGTGCTGCATCTTGCCTTGTTCATTTAGCCATGAATATTGTAATTCATAGCAGTTAAGCAATTTCTTTGGCCTAAAACTCTATTCTGGTCCTGCTCACTGCTTAATTCATAGCCATACAACAGTGCACAAAGAACATCTACTTTCATCCACCACCACCATCCCCTCCCCTTCCCCTACCCCATTCTCTGGGTTTCTAACCCCCCTCTATTCCCTTCTTCCCGCCCAGGGCACCTACTCACTTACCTGCCAGATGTAGGAAGAGGCTTAAGATGACCACTTGAGGATGCATTATAGGATCAGCCTGAAGGAAAATGAGCAGACAGGCTGGTTGGTACACCCCGCCAGATGGTATCTGATCAAGTCCTAATTCTCAGATTGCAACTTATCTTTGGATGATTCATATGAGCCTGCTCTGATGGAAATGAGAGACCACATACAACAGCTTCCGAGCTCTGTTAGTTCCCTGTGGCTAAGAGCTCTGTGCCTTCCAAAGGACCAGGAAAGCGGTCCACAGAAACAGCCCCTGACTTCCCAGCTTCTTCCCCACACATAGGCTCCAAACTGACTCCTGGTCCTGATACAGGGGATCGGGGAACAAACAAAAAGGAAACTGGAAGCAGAGAACCAGCGTGGCTCAATGGCAGCACAAGAGCAAAGGCCAGCCTTCCAGTGGCAGAGCTGCACTTGCTTTTCAGAGTCAACTGGGCCTCTGGTGGACGTGGGGCTTTTCCTGCTCAGTGGCTACAACGATTCATCCCCAGCCTTAACAGTGACATTGCCAAGTTTGCCGTTAGCAAGAGGAATTGACAGTGGATATGAATCACTGTGCCTAACCTTTCATGCCCGTGGACAGCGTGATTGAGACTGCAGCTCCTTACCATGGGATTTCAACAGAAAGCTTCAGGAAACAGAAGTCGGGAGCAGACTTACGTTCAGATCCAAGCTCTGTCACTCACAATGCTGGATAACCCTGAGCCTTCCTGAGTTCTCTTCAAACCTCTATTTCCTCAGTTGTAAAATAGCACTAAAAATGCTTCCTCTGTCTCCCACCAAGGATTGATATAATAAGCAAAAAGGGCCACGGAAGAACTTCGAAAACTAAACCTACGTAGGCACTAACAGCACTAGCTAAGGTTTTTGGAGAATACTATATAGCAGGCTCTGTGTCAAGCACCCACATGCGTTAAATCAGGCTGTTGACTTCTGCTCTTAATCATTAAACCATGCAAACGTAAGTAAGCTTGCCTAGTACTTCATTAACTCCTCTTCTGGTCTGAGATTTCGGTAACTTCCAAGGAGGCAGTGGTGCTCTGTATCTTGCCTCTCATGACAGGGTTCATGAGGAAGTGGTCTTGGCTTACTGTGGCCATGGGTCGCAGGCTCCCAGGAGTGGGAACCCCTGACTCCAGCAGCCAGCAGCCTCTGTACTCTGACATGATGTCTGATGCTACTAACTGGTGACCCAGACACTATTTGGCCTACAAGCGTTTTGTATGGCAGCGTTTAAAAATTCATTTCTTGACCAGGCACGGTGGCTTACCCCTGTAACGCCAGCACTTTGGGAGGCCGAGGTAGGCCAATCACCTGAGGTCGGGAGTTCAAGACCAGCCTGGCTAACGTGGTGAAACCCCGTCTCTACTAAAAATACAAACATTAGCTGGGCGTGGTGGCGGGCGCCTGTAATCCCAGCTACTTAGGAGGCTGAGGCAGAAGAATTGCTTGAACCTGGAAGGTGGAGGTTGCAGTGAGATCAAGCCATTGCACTCTAGCCTGGGCGACAAGAGCAAAACTCCATCTCAAAAATAAAAATAAAAATTCATTTCTTGCCAGGCACAGTGGCTTACGCCTGTAATCCCAACACTTTGGGAGGCCAAGGCAGGCAATCACCTGAGGTCGGGAGTTCAAGACCAGCCTGGCTAACGTGGTGAAACCCCGTCTCTACTAAAAATACAAACATTAGCTGGGCGTGGTGGCGGGCGCCTGTAATCCCAGCTACTTAGGAGGCTGAGGCAGAAGAATTGCTTGAACCTGGAAGGTGGAGGTTGCAGTGAGATCAAGCCATTGCACTCTAGCCTGGGCGACAAGAGCAAAACTCCATCTCAAAAATAAAAATAAAAATTCATTTCTTGCCAGGCACAGTGGCTTACGCCTGTAATCCCAACACTTTGGGAGGCCAAGGCAAGTGGATCACCTGAGGTAAGGAGTTTGAGACCAACCTGGGCAACATAGCAAGACTCCCTCTCTGCAAAAAAACAAAAAACAAAAAATAATAGTCAGGCCTGGTGTACATGACCGTAGTCCCAGCTACTCAGGAGGCTGAGGCAGGAGGATTTCTTGAGCCCAGCAGTTGGAGGCTATGATTGTGCCACTGCACACCAGCCTGGGTGACAGAGCAAGACCCTGTTTCTTAAGGAAAAAAAGATTTAATAAAAAATTAAGCTAATTCAATTCAACCAGTCATTACTAACACATTGAGTTGATGGGACATGACTCAATATACTAAGGACGTGAAAAATCCAGAATTGTGCAATTGGGCAGGGACATGGGCAAGTAAGCAACTAATGAAATCAGGATGAATGAGGTAAAGGTAAATATATAATCACATTACATCATTCCCCCACTTATAACCCTCTCGTACCTCTCTCAGAAAAAATAATAATAATAATTCCTAAGTCTTTACTCAAATTACTGAAGCCCTGGTGATCTGGCCCTGACCTACCCCATAGATTTCTTCTACCACTCTCTCCCCTGCTGACTCAGCCCCAGCCACTAGAGCTTTCTTTCCAACTTGCCTCAACCCTAAGGCCTTTTCCATGGCTGTGTTCTCCAGCTAGCTCCCCGGTCCCACCATTTTCACTTTTTTCCTTTTCATTTTTATCCTGGCTTGAATGTTACCTCCCTGGACATTTCACTGGTCCTTCAATCTAAAGTAGCCAAGCAGTCCCTCTCACTATTATTACCTATTTTCCTTAATCCATTTGATCTGTTTGTGCAGTATATGTGGTGTCTGACTATGGTCCCTCCTGTAGAGTGCTGCCCTGTAGAATTTTGGTAATGGAGTTATTCTGGTAACGGAGTTATTCTGGAACTGATGAACCAAAGAGAGTCAAGACAGGGATACGGCGCCAAGGCTCTGAGATGTTACATAACTGTACAATTCCATAAGATTTGAATTTGAATTCCATAGGATCGAGTCTGTCTCCAGTAGAATATTGGTAACGGAGTTATTCTGTGTGTCGTGCACTACAGCAGCCACTAGCCACATATAACTATTAAGCACTTGAAATGTGGCTAGGGCAATGAAGGCATTTTTAATGTTTTTTTTTTTTTTTCCAAGACAGAGTCTGACTGTGTCACCCAGGCTGGAGTGCAGTGTCACAACTCGGCTCAGTGCAACCTCCATCTCCTGGGTTTAAGCGATTCTCTTGCCGCAGTCTCCTGAGTAGCTGGGACTACAGACGTACGCCACCATGCCTGGCTAATTTTTGTATTTTTAGCAGAGGCGGGGTTTTACCATGTTGGCCAGGCTGGGCTCAAACTCCCGGCCTCAAGTGATCCCCTCACCTCAACTTCCAAAAGTGCTGGGATTACAGGTGTGAGCCGCCATGCTTGGCTTAAAATTTTTTATTTAATTTCATTTTAATTAAAATTTCGGATCACTTGAGCCCAGGAGACAGTCTTCGGGGAGTTGAGATGGCACCACTACACTCAAGCCTTAGATGACAGAGCTTTCAAAAAAATAAATTAATTAAAAATAAAAAAATAAAATTTAAATTGTCACACATAGCGACTGTGTTGCATGGCACCCAACTCCAGACTATAAACTCCTTTAAGGCAATTTAAGTATTACTTGAGACCGGGCATGGTTGCTCACACCTGTAATCCTCCCAAAGGAGGCTGAGGCAGGAGGATCACTTGAGGTCAGGAGTTCCAAACCAGCCTGGCCAACATGGTGAAACCCCATCTCTACTAAAAATGCAAAAATTAGCCAGGCATGGTTGCAGGTGCCTGTAATCCCAGCTACTCAGGAGGCTGAGAGAGGAGAATCACCTGAACCCGAGAGGCAGAGGTTGCCGTGAGCCTCATGCCACTGCACTCTGGCCTGGGCCACAGAGTGAGACTTCTAAAAAAAAAACAAAGTTATTAATTGAATAGATAAACAAATGGAAACACAAACCCATAGAGAAAGACCATTCATTTTGACGATGGGGTGTGGGGGGTGAGAAGAATGGGTGGAGGGTGTTTCAAGTAGAGGAAATGAGGAGCCAGAGAGAGCCAAGACTCTGAGATGTTACTTAACTGCACATTCCATAGGATTGAATTTTCTGACACACGACCATCTCCCATGAGAGACGCCTGTGTTCTAAAGACTCCCAAATAATATAGCACAGTGGGTTTTTTTTTAATGAGCTATACAACCTCCATGAATCACTACTCTTTAGGGCAAACTTCATGACCCCCTGAAGGATGCATTCCAATTGTGGGGTAAAGCTGGAGGTGACAATACTTTGGCACCAAAGCTGAATTTCCAGCTGCTCACTAGAGAGCTGCATCTGTGTAAACCAAGATTAATGGCAGTGAATTGAAATGATTCAGAACATGGGCTGGGCGTGGTGGCAGGTGCCTGTAATCCCAGCTACTCAGGAGGCTGAGGCAGGAGAATTGCTTGAACCTGGGAGGCGGAGGTTGCAGTGAGCCGAGATCGTGCCACTGCACTCCAGCCTGGACAACAGACTGACTCCCTGTCTCAAAAAAAGAGAAAGAACTCAGAAAGGAAAATAATTCACTGTTCTTTCCTGCAACCACCATTACTTCCCTGCTATCTCAGCGCACACCTTACCTCCAGCTCCGGCCTCCTGCAAGACACTTCAGCTGCTCATATTCCCCATGCTTTCACCACAGCAAGATCTTCTTAGGCCCCCTCCACAACTACGGACTCACCAACTCCATGTCATTGTACCTGTAAGGCTCTCCCTCATCCCCATCACTTTATATTAGGCCTCCATAATCCAGACTTCTACAATTCCCTCCAAAACTGTCTTCCTACCTTTCCCTTCTCTTCCTGCCCTGCCCACTGCCCTAAGCTAGTTATTTTCCTTCACTTACTCCTCTGATTTCATAACAAGTAATATGATGCTTCTTTTTTATATATCTTTTACAAAGATATAAAAATACAAGGTACCTATGTTTACCATAGAAAACATAAAAAAGGCCAGGCATGGTGGCTCACACCTGCAATCCCAGCACTTTGGGAGGCCAAGGCAGGAAGATCACTTGAGGTCAGGAGTTCAAGACCAGCCTGGCCAACATGGCAAACCCCGTCTCTACTAAAACTACAAAAATTAGCCAGGCATGGTGACTCATGCCTGTAGTCTCAGATACTAGGGAGGCTGAGGCAAGAAAATCGCTTGAACCTGAGAGATGAAGGCTGCAGTGAGCTGAGATCACACCACTGCATTCCAGCCTGGGTGACAGAGCGACATTCTGTCTCAAAAAAAAAGAAAAGAAAAACTATAAAAATACCAAAAGTGTACTCGTTTAACAATTATTTGTTGATGATCTGCAATATGTTAGAAATGATCCTATTTTTCTGGAATGTACCAATGAACCAAAGACCCCTGGCCTCATGTAACTTACCTTTTTTTTTTTTTAAGATGGAGTTTCACTCTTGTTGCCCAGGCTGGAGGGCAATGGCACGATCTCAGCTCACTGCAACCTCTGCCTCCCGGGTTCAAGCGATTCTCCTGCCTCAGCCTCCCAAGAAGCTGGGATTACAGGCATGCACCACCACACCAGCTAATTTTTGTAATATTAGTAGAGACGGGGTTTTACCATATTAGACAGGCTGGTCACGAACTCCTGACCTCAAGTGATCCACCTGCCTTGGCCTCCCAAAGTGCTGGGATTATAGGCGTGAGCCACCACGCCCGGCCTCATGTAACTTACATTTAACTGAAAAATAAATATACAGATTTTTAAAACATCACTAAAATGTAATTTATCAGCATATTACAAGTTAATGAATGCTAATGCAAAAAAGGCAAAAGGATACGCAAGAGCAGGGTGAAGGTGGTTGGGAGTGGAGGGTTGAGGAGGCGCTGAGTTGCAATTTTAAGGTGGTCAGG